TGATTTGACATCATAACTTGACACACTAGAAAACTCAAACTCGTCACGGCAAGGAGCTTGGAGCTAGTATGGTGGGCAGCATCGTCATCTTCAACAGCAAAATTTGTCTTCTCCGGCTAAACCAATCTTCCTTCCTTATATATAAGCAACAAAGTTATAGGACTTCGAGGTTGCTTGCTTATGTAACGTAAATCCTCACCTTATCCTTAGGCCTTCGTATAGCCCTGCTATACAATATAAGTTTTAACTCGTCTTAGGATTCCAAGGTTGTCGTTTGTCACGACCTAAATCCTCATATCATCCAGGCTATTTGTGTGATATTTTCACTTGAATGTAAGCCCTAACTAATAAAATTGGCAGGATGAAATGCCTAAATATTTCTCCTCAGAAATGAAGCCAAACATTAGGATAGCTTGGGAAGTCACTAAGGTTCTTCTCTAGATCCATGACATCCCCTAGTTCTTCCTCTTTTAGATTCTACAAGAAAATGTTCCAAATTTGAACCAATCCCCTTTCACTTTTTTTATTGTATCGAGCCTCATCCTCAAGCCTTGTGTTTATCCTTCGGGATAGATACTAGATTTGAGGTACAACGCTCTTTCATTTAAACTATGAAAAATATGGGGTCATATTGATTTCATATTTTTCTAAAACTAAATATATATGTAAATTAAAACGTCTTTCCGAAGCGAGCGACGAGATTTCGATTCCGGTGACTGACAGCTTCTTACCGGCAACTCCTCCAACCAAAAATAGCGCCGACAGTAACAGCCACGACTGCGAAATGTTTGTATGCAAGTATATGGAAACCATAATACAGTCTGAGAAAGTCGAATGGAAAGCTCACTCGAACTGGCAAGATCAAATGTTACAATTTAGAGCACATTTTGCCTATGCCATTTGCACGTGAGCTCGCCAGAAATCATAAATACATGTCATTGAAAATTATTTTTTTTGTAATAGGGTGTAGGGAGTGTTTTATTGCAGCTGAAGCTATATTTTACTTTTGTACATATCAATTAGTTATTTTTTTTATTTTTGTAATAATTGTTTTGATGTATTGAGATCTATATTATTGGTTATTGTCTTATTTTTTTTTACTTTTTTATCTTTGTGTATTCTCATTAGTTATTAGAATATTTTTATTATTTACATACGCAGGGTGATCTACCCCATATTAGAAGCCTATATTAGATAAGAATGCATTTAATTTGAGGTTATTAACAGCTAAAACTTGTATTAGTAGCTTTAATATTTAAATAACACAGTGGAAATAAGATATAACACAATTAAAAGGTAGAATAACAAAATGGAAAGGAAAAATAACACATCAGGTGACGATAATAACGCGTAGGGAATATTCTCCCTACGTTACGCGCATATGTTAACATAAATAACGCATTGATTAGAAGAAATAACGCATTGACTTCGAGAAATAACGCAATCACAATGTAAAGTAACTCTGGGGGAATATTTGCTCCATGTTACACACGTTTAAATTGGCCGTGGAAGACATTAATAACACTCTCCAGGACGGAATAACACAGTGCAGAGGGAAATTAACACAACGCGGAGGGAAATTAACTCGAGGAGAATACTCTTACCATGTTATGATTGTTTTAATCGTCCGTAGAAGACAAAAATAACGCGCGTCTGGCAAAATAACGCAGCGATGAAGGGGAAGTAACACATGAGGAACCGAAATAACGTGGTAGGAATATTCCCACCACGTTACGGTCAAGTTAGTCAGGGCGAGGAATGGGTTTTCGTGCTATTTTTTAATATTTCTCGTGTTACAAAGGTGTTATGAATGTGTTATTTGACTGTTATTCGGGTGTATTTGACAAATAAATGTGTTATTTGATAATTGTATACATATATTGGTGTTATTCATGCGTTATTGGGTAGCTCTTCAGATATATTTGCAAAAATATTGTTGTTATAGCATGAACAACACAACAAACAAAAAATTAGAAGAATTTAACGCTAACAGAATCATTAAATTGTTTATTCAGGTGGAAATTATCATCATGCAAATATTGTACGCATGTCAACAAACAAAATAAATAATTACAATGATTTATAATACATTAAAGCTCAGTTATCAAATCAGTCAAGAACCCACTAAAGGTTTAAGTTAATAATTGCGATGGATAATAATCCTGTCATGTTGTAAGGAGAACAAAGTATTAGAATAACCGATGGAAGAAATGCCTGAAATAGAAGATACGTCGGATTTTCAATGATTTACTGGCTGAGACAGTCGGGCAAAATTGGTTATTCTGAATTATCCATGTAAATTAAAACGTCTTTCCGAAGTTACATGGATAATTAAAACGTCTTTCCGAAGTTACATGGATATTAAAATATTATAAATAATATCTTAATATTTATAAGATATTAAGATTTATATATCTTATAAATCTTAAATTCATACAGATATATAAGATTCAGATATATCTGTATATATATCTGAATCAGACACAAAAGCAAAGATAAATCTGTATGAATTTGTTATATATATATACAGATTCAGATATATATAACGTTAATATATCTGGATCTTTTCCTGTACACATAACTTATGGTTAGAGTAAACAAATACAAAAATAAAGTTGGAGCAGTTCTAATAATGTACAGGTATATACTTTTGGATCTCTGATTCTTCTCCCAATAACCTTTTGTCCTAAAATTCGAAAAGCCTTTTCGCTTCATCTTTGCTGGGTCAGCCACAGTGTGATCAAATTTTTATGGTTTTTTCATCTTTGTTTTTCTATTAACGTTAGGTGTTTCCCCAGATTTTGTTTCGTCAAAATCAACTGATAGCTTTTTAAATGTTTCCCAAAGCAGTTGCTCGTTAAGTTCGTCACCTTCTGTCTTATTTATTAGTTGATATGCAAACTTCTGAGATTGAGGACGAAATAAGATGCCACTAGAGAAAGCAGACGTCATTTGAAACTCCCTGAGATGTTTGTATTCAAACCTATTATAGATGTCCCTTTTAGCATGAACAGACCATCGTATTAACAAATACTTCTCATGAATCATATTTATTTTAAGCACATTAAGAAGATGTAGTGCGTGCGAACACATCAGCCCCTTCATTTCAAACATCTTGCAACTGCAGGTTACATCAAAATTAACACTGTCAAAATTCACTATCCATTTCTTCGATGTGCCATTATTATCCAAATTACGTATATAATACTTTGACCCACTTTCTGTGGAGAATTCAAGCGTAAGTCCACACAACCCATTGAGTAGCTCTTGCTACATTGAGTAAAGCTTCCTTGTTTAAAATTAGGAAGCTTGCCTCAAAACAGGATTGACTTTAACAATTGGCGTAATGACATATTTACTACATTTGAAATCTTCATCATTTTCATTCATGTGCCATGATTTCATTATCTTTTCAATGCCGATAAAATCATAAAACAATCTGTCAAAGAGCTTGTGGGCTTAGAAACACCATGGTATACATTATTGGTGGAGTCACTTCTTTGAGTTGATAGGATTCTCATTCTAAATATTTCTTTATTAAAGGCAGTGGACCATTTGTGTCTGATTTTATACATGTCATGCAACCACACATTACTGTGTAGGTCACCAACTTCAATCATTAATGTCCAGGTATCTTCAAACTCCCCCTCCGAATCACATTCACTCATGCATTTATAAAATAATTCGGTGACGCTCTTGATAGCAACTCCACAATGCACTTTTGAAGTAATTTTTTTTGTATATATTCCATTGGCATAATCTGTGCCGTATTTGTGAGAGACACTCTTCAATGGCCCTTGCGATAACTTGGTCCTGATCGGTAAAAATACTTATTGGATGCTTGTCACTAATTACTCTTATGAAAGCTTTGAATAACCATTTAAATGAATCAATAGTCTCCTCTGACAAGAAGCCCCCAAACATAACATTTTGTCAGTGGTGGTTAACTCCCACAAAAGGAGCGCAACATAAGTTATACTTATTTAATCTATAGCTTGTATAAAAAATTATAACATCACCAAAACAGTCGTAACTTGTTAATCTACCATACTCATCGGTTTGGAAATCTCATGCAAACTTGCTATAGTTGCCTTGTCTTTCAATGAACAATTGTATTAGAGAGTTGGCATCTCCTTATTCAATTTTTTCTCTTCTTTCTCTTTGAATGAAATTGAATGCATCCTTCTTCGTGCATTCTAAATTCTCTGCTCCACCAACCTCAAGAGCAATGAAGTTATATGCATCTGTTGCTCCAATCCCTGCTCCTGTCATCAATCTTAGTACACCTGCATTTAGGTCACTTATCCGTCTACTGGAACGAAGAATATGCTTATCATCATATTCAACCAAAGGATGGTTGAGACTTTCAATGAATTTATGTACTGTCCAGTTGCCTTCTAGATAAACTACATAGCGAACCATGACTTGACAACCAGTCCTTATGTCTGTCTTTTTGTATTTTTCTGTATTCATAAGGTTGGACTCCTTCTTATGACCAACTTTTGCGCAAAGGAAATCTTTGGACTTCCTTTTCTTATAATTCGGCCAATAACTGTTGTGGTCCTTTCGAACACTAAATCCTACATGATGTGCATAAGCACAATAGGCTTCATAAGTTTCTTGCTCATAGTGGACGATGATGCTAAAAAACTTCTCAGCAATTAGATCATTACAAATAGTTCTTTGCTCACATGACTGCACATTTATAAAGACCTCATCAAGACCTTTATCAAAACCTGAATAACAACACATTTATAAAGCAAAAATAACACAATATCACTACCACAAACGTTGGAAATACCATAATAGCACCAACATAACACCACAAATAGCAACCATATTAACAATATCATATGTTGTGCTGTAACAAAACCATCAAAAAACACGTAGAATGATACAGTAAAACCTACCATAATGAACAAACCTAACACCTAATATAAAAAAACAGAGTAACCTCTTGGAAGTTCAAAGAAAATGCATGCTGGAGAAAATGCATGTTGCGTTGTATCCATCATTTCGTCGTTCGACAAGGACTCCATGGAAGGCGTAAACCTAAATCAATGGAACAGTAGGTGCTCAGCTGCGCGCGGGAAAGAAAAATAGCCAGGCAATACGCGAAAAAACTTTTTACAAATTGAGTTTGGGTCAGGCCGGCCAGCTGAGTGAGCGTCATTTTTTTAGAAAAATATTATCTCAGGAGTACTGATGCATGAATACTCAATGAGAAAGTACCACGTGACATTTTAGTGGGAAAGTGCCTAATATATATATATATATTTTTTGAGTTTGTCAGGTGTCCGAATGTCCGAATGGAGTCCTGATGGAATAATTAGCCTTCCTGCC